CCACCCACCGCGAGGAGCTCATGAAAGTCGCAAACCGGCCCACCATATCGTGTGTAACAATCCCAGAGGCTTCTGATTCTCGCCTCACAGATAGCATGAAAAGTCTCGCCAAGGTCATCCGAGGCCTCGATATTTCCAAAGATCCTTACATCCTGAACCTTCAAAGAATAGGGACTATTAAAAGCTTCAATAAGCTGGAAAAGGCATGGCAGAAGAGGGACACCCCCGTTACGAAGCAGATGCTTTCCCTATATCGCAAAAGCAGAGAGATCTCACGGGAACTTGGCTCTTGGGCGGCTGATTACTTCTTAGACCTGGCTGTAACCCGTTATCTGGCCTCAGTCGACCAGAGTCTCAGCCGTAGCCGACCCGACGAATGGGATATAGCGGAGAAGAAGTACCTAGCCAATTTACTCCATAAACTCGAGATCACGCCCCCGCCACCACTCAAGGACGCTCCTATAACCGACTTTTCCGACAAATTCAATGCTCTAGTCCGAGAACTAAACTCCACCCCAGACGGCACGCGCTGCATCATATTTGTTCTCGAGACTGTTACAGTGGCAGTGTTGTCTCGAATGCTGTCTGCCACGATCTCCGTTAGCAGCCGCTTTGGAATTGGCACTATGATTGGATCCAGCTACCATCCAACGCGGAAGCGAGATCTTGGAGAAATAAACGACTTGAACGGTACCCTCAACCTCGAAAACTTTAGGTCGGGCAAGCTGGATCTCCTGATAGCCACTAGCGTGGCAGAGGAGGGTATCGACGTTCCCTCTTGCGACCTAATTATTAGCTTCAATGCACCAGCAAATCTGAAATCTTTCATCCAAAGGCGAGGCAGGGCCAGAATGGAGAACTCGAGATTCATCCTACTGCTGGATGGATCCAACCAACAACACCAAACCTGGCTAGCTCTAGAGGATCTGATGAGAAAGTGCTACGAGGACGATACGAGAGTCGCTCGTGAATTGACCATGCTCGAAGATTTGGATGCTGATGCGGATGTCGCACCCTTCCGTATCCCTAGCACTGGCGCTCAGCTCTATTTTGATCAAGCCAAGGCACACCTTAGTCACTTTTGTCAAAAGATAACATCAGGGCAATACGTGGATAACCAGCCTTATTACATTGCTGAAAAGTCTGGCAATACCCCTTACAATACAAGCTTTAGCGCAGTGGTGCATCTACCTCCATCACTACCTCCGAATCTTCGCCGAGTAAGAAGCCTTAGGCGATGGCAGTCGGAGAAGAACGCCTTCAAAGACGCCGCGTTCCAAGCTTTCAAGGCAATCTATGAGGCAGGCTTGGTCAACGACAATCTGATGCCGCTAATGGACGATGATATGGACGACATCGAAGCACGCAGCCCGACAATGGAGGTCAATGGTTCCTGGAGGCCATGGAGAAAAGTTGCCCAACAGTGGATAGAATCTAACGAAGTCATGCAACGGGAGCTTTGCCTGAAAGATGGCGATAAGCTGGTCGCCAAGGTCGTAGCATCGCTGCCTTGTCATTTCCCGAGGATACCCCCTTTCAACATCTATTGGGATGCACAGACTACCTTGAGGGTTGAAACAAGTGAGGGTTATAACCTCACCAAGGCGAAGGCCCTAAAAGAGGACCAAAGTGCGGCTTTGATTCACTTAGCGTACGGCCATCGGTACCCGGTCGAAAACTTGCCACACATCCTACATCTTCACTCTGCCGAGAATATTGCATTTTGTCACCCCGTGGTGCAGTTCGCTATGGATGAAGGCGCCCCCGATCCCAAGTTCCTCGTTAGAGACACAAGCAGGTCCATATATACTCACCTGGGCTTTTTACCCTCCAGACCGCCACCAGAGCTAGGAATCAAGATCGCAAGTGAAATAGGGGATGAGCTAAACGACGAACCATGGCTACTGCTCGAGAAGTGGCGGCGGCGCCGAGATTGGCTTCACCCCTCCAAGGATGAACCTGATATGAAACCCGTGGCACTCCCGGTGTCGCAATGTACTTTGGACACCGTTGACCGCTACAAAGTTTACTTCGGCAGCATCATGCCTTCGATTCTGCATAAGCTTGAGATTCACCTCATAGCGGAAGAATTATGCAGCACCATACTAAAAGATGTTGGGTTTTCTGATACCTCACTCGTTACGACCGCCATCAGCTCGCGTGCCGCCCAAGAGGCAACGGATTACGAAAGACTCGAATTTTTAGGAGATGCAAACCTGAAGATACTGGCGACAGTTTCGGTCATGATTCAGCGTGAGGCCGCGTCGTTTCCCTTCACGTACAGACTGTAAACATTATGCTAACTACCCCGACACTATAGATCCGAACTACCCAGAAGGATATCTCTCGTCGAAGAAAGATCGAATCGTATCGAACTCAAGACTGTGCCGTGCTTCGGTTGATAAAGGCCTGGATAGATTCATCCTGACAAAATCGTTTACGGGAAGAAAGTGGTATCCGTGTTATCATACACGGGACTTTCATTCTGCCGAAGGGCCGCCTCCGGCCAAAAAGGAGATATCGACTAAAACCCTCGCAGATGTTGTTGAGTCCTTGATTGGAGCAGCTTTGGTAGATGGGGGCCAGACAAGAGCCCTGGCGTGTCTACGGATCCTCTTGCCAGACGTGGAATGGCATGGTCTGGCCGAGGCGCACACAATCCTCTTCGACAGGAAACCCTTCGTGACGCAATTACCTCCAGAATACGAACTCTTGGAAGAACTTATTGGCTATGCATTCAGGAACAAGGCACTATTGATAGAGTCTATGAGCCATGGATGTTTGAGTTCATATACAGATGCGAGCATGGAACAACTCGAGTTCCTCGGTGACTCTATCCTAGATGCTATCATTGTCTCGGTTCTATGGGAACATAAGCCGGAGCTCACCAATCATCAAATGCATCTATTGAAAACGGTGTCCGTCAACGCTGACCTCCTAGGCTTTCTGGTGATGGAATGGAAGACTACGCAAAAGGTTACCAGCATCTCACCGGTGGACAGAAGCATCGTAGTGACCGACGAACCCATTCCCTTTTGGAAATTTATGAGGCACAGATCTTACGAAGTCGGCAAAGTCCAACAAGCAGCCGAGGCGCGACACTCCGCAGAGAGAGAATTGATCCTCGAGCTCATGGCCCACGGCGCCGAGCACCCCTGGGCGCAACTCGCCCATCTCAATCTCCCCAAGTTCTTCTCTGACCTGTTTGAGAGTCTTCTCGGCGCCGTGTGGGTGGACTCGGGCTCCATAACCATTTGCCAGCGGATCCTGGAGCGAGTCGGCATTCTGCCATATCTGCGACGCGTCATTTTCGACAGAATAGAAATCCGACATCCAAAGAACAAGCTCGGCGAACTCGCCGGCTGGGACCGGCTGAAGGTAAGGTACGAGACGGATGTACGGATCGAGGCCGGCGAACGGGATCTCTTCTGTAGGGTGTTTGTCGATGACAAGTTCATCGTGGAGGTCACTGGTGGCGTCAACCCGGAGGAGATTGTGGCGAAGGCCGCAGATGAGGCGTACCATATGCTTTACGGCCAAAGCAAAACAATCCGCAAGGGGTGGTGAGCGCGATGGAACCCATGATCACGGCGTCCCCCCCCCTCCCCGGAACACTCGTTGTTCAACGTGCTGGCAGCTATTTTCCCATAGATGAGATAGCTCAACACTCGAGAGTTCCTCGTGATTTCGGTTAATGAAAGCGTGAAGTTCTCGTGAATTGTATCCGTTATTGCTTTCCATTCCGTGCTTCCGCTTAGGGCGGCCGCGGACGCAATGGACATGAAGGAGTAGCTGCGCGCCTCAGGGGAAACAACCAGCCTGTGATGGTAATGGTGATGGTGATGGTGATGGGGATGGGGATGCTGATGGTGAGAGGGTGGGTGGGTGACCGGATGGAAACAGGTACGGGTACCTATTAATCGTGGACAGTAGACTGATGACCCTTCAGTAGTCAGCGCGCGCTTGGATTGAGCTACCCCTATTGCTCAGAGGCTGTTCGAAGCGTCAGTCCTAGGTCACCGTAACATCAACTCCAACCTCAGCTTCAACCTCGACTTCGAAATATCGACTATGTGTATGGAGCGAGGCAAATCATTGACTATGGCAACGTGTAAGTGCCCAACAGCACCATCCATCTGTTAGAAGTTGATGACTCCGTTTTAACCAATAATTACATGTATATCTGGTGTTTATATATTTATACTTCCCGCCGTGTCAATGTCGAAAAGAAAAGAAAAGAAAAGCCCTGCCTTTTACACATATATTATATACAAGAGAAATGCTCAATCATACAGCTGCCCATCCAAAGGTCAACACGGGGATTGTCTGCAGCATTGCCGCTGGGTGGGGAACCGGGGCGGAATTCAGCTCAACATGAACATTCCGAACATCTGAAAATATTCTCTGCTTTCTCCAGAAGCGACAAGTGAGAAATCCACCACGTCATTAACCTGTGCCTCAAAAACCACTTGAGCCTATGCGTGGATGCCAATCGCGAATTTTTCACGTTTATCTCGCATTGGGCAATCTGCGTCCGGGCCCCCATCGGGAACATGATTCCAACGCGGTCCCCGTGATAAGATTCCGCGACGACGCGGATGGCGTCAGGTCAGTATATGGAGCCCGCGTTCGATGGTTTAGTGAATAGTTCGCTTTTACTCAACGTATTAGCAGTTGCTGAGGCGCACAGCTGCAATCGCGGGACATTCCCGTCTCCGTCGTGGAAGCAAGTAAACATAGTCGAGACACAATAAACAGAGTAATTAGGTGCTGTGGGTTGGCTGATGATATCCCGTTGATTTCCACACACCAATCGATTCATTATCTTTCTCTTTTGGTTCAAAAAGTGATAGCAAAGAAATTAGAAAAAAAAGAAAAAAAAATTTTATAAAAGAAAAGAGAAAATCAATAAGTCGGAAAAACCCAGTGAAGAAAAAGAGAAAAAAAAGAAAAAAAGATGAGAGGCTACTCTCAGTTGAACTGAGAAGCATCAGGAATTGAGCCCGATGCGGGGGTCGAACCTATGACGGGAGGATTAGTACAATGAGAAAGTGAATATTTCCGAATAATATTCGGAGGCACTCACCCGCAACCTTGAGATTAAGAGTCTCACGCTCTACCGATTGAGCTAACCGGGCGAGCTCTGTTATTTTCTAGCCCGTCGTAAAAGCCGCATTTGTAGGATCAATAGCGCTATGGAGACCGAATTAACACTGCGACCAGGCAGGTAGATACCTAGGTATCCTATTGTTCGGCCACTCCACCTCCATGACTCCACGGCAAGGGGCTTGGCGCTCTACCTATTTTAAACTGGCTGAGAGAGTCATAAGATGGCCGAGCAGTAGGTACAGGACGACCCAAGAATTAAGGCGTTGAGTATCAAGGACAAGTCCACTTCGCTGTGGCAACTGATTCTTTCAAGCATCACTGTCAGCATCTAAAAGTTGGAACACGCCCCCATCAGCTGAAAAGATGTTGATCAGCCGCACACCTGTGGACAAGCCAGGCGAGTCTTTGAGCTGCAAGATGCTGCGCTTACGGTGCCTGACACAGGTAAGTGAGTAGGTAGGTATCATCTTCGTGCGTGCAGACACTGGATAGTACGTGGGCATGTATCCTTCTTTTAGACTTGGATATTGACAATGATGGCACCTCGGGAGCTTTGTGTCTGCACCGGAACAGAGGCCCGAACTCTTGTATAGTAGGCGCTGTGCTTGTCTTCATGCTTCTCAGCACACTAGATATACCAGGCAGCTACTCACGCGTACAAAGCACGGAATGCTTCGTAGTGTTCTGTCGATAGGTGGTAGGTAGATAGTAGGTAGGACTTCAGCTTCTTGCTGACTGTTTCTAGAACCCTACCCTGCCCTAAGATGAACTCCGAGGGCGATTGGTACTAATCATAGTAGCAACATTGACAAATCATACGATATGAATGCGTACATCATCGAGGCAGAGAAAATCAGGCATGTCGGAGTCTAGGCAGCGTATTAAACGCCATTGCCTACTCGGCGTGGGAAGTGGAAATTGATCATCTGGTTTGCCGTTCGTATGCTTCGCTCACTCGTCGTGGAATATCGAATATCGCGACCCTGCCAATTTGTGCTTACCGACGAAATCGACGGATACCTTTTGAGTGGAATGAACGACAAACGGATTGGCCAGATTCAGAGCTGCTGCAATGAATCGAATTCATCCAAACAAAGCGTCAGGGCCCCGACCTATGAGCTGGAGTGCGATTCCAGCAGACGACCCAGCCGCTCACGAACATATAATCAAGTTTATCTCCGAGTCGATAGTAGACGACATCCAAAGTAACATATCGAGCGGGTTCATGCGGCAAGTGCACGCCTCCAAGAAAAGCATCATGTCGCCTCATGACAAGGCAGAACGGATGCGCCTAGTCCGCGATATGCGAACAACACTGGAGCGTCTGACGGAGGAATTAGGCCAGAGGTTTTTTGAAGAATATCGCCATAGGCCGGCTGTTGGTCGGTGGTATGACTCCTGGCTATTCAACAGCCCCCCAACGTTCCTGCGCTGGGAACAAGAATGGGCTTTCACGTCCGATGAGCCCCTGGCTACGGCTGCCGCGCGAAGCATCAGCGACAGCACTGACGGACTTGTGTCCGGCTCCGAAACGACCCCTGAAGTGAGGCTGGAGTTTGGAGAGAATCTTGAAGACTTTGATGATACTGAGGAGTTTGGTCCGAGGCCCGAGTACAGACCGGACGCTCCAGAAACAGAAGTAGGTTTTGAAGCTCAAATCCTAACTAAGAGTATTGGAAATGAGGGTACAGCTCAATTGACACGCAAGCGTATGTTCATAGAAGAAAACTGACAGCCCCATGCTACCCTCTACTGGCTGTCAGTGCCGGCATGCTGAGGGCGAAGGTTCGGACTCGGGGGATGTCGTCCATCTTTGCCAAACATGCGCCTGTAGCGACCAGGGTCAAGGCTGCATTGCGTCTTGCGGTTGCGACGAGACGTGTCGAAATAACTTCAACAGCATTGCGCTTGACAGCATTCTGGGCGCCGACGTTTCCGAACGGGTGGACTTCAATGCATGTTTCATCTCCTACTTGCAAAAGCTCGAGTTGACCGAAGCTATCAACCTGGAATATCTGTTTGACCATCTTTTGACCGGTCTGAGGTATGTCCCTGACGGTAATGATGAAGCAATCGACGCGTGGCGGGTCGAATGGGAGACTAGCTATAACGGACCGGATCCCGAAGCAAAGACGGAAGCGCTCCAACGCGAACTTATCCGTCTCGGGCTTCGACGTGGCGACGGGCAAGGCAACGGGCAAGGCGACTGGTTTTTCTCATTTTGTTATAACCGTAATGAGCAGATCGGGAGCTGGCAGCAAGGGAATCAGATATGGCACTGTAGGGACTGCAAGAGATGTATTGACTGGCAAATGTGGTGGCATTGCGAACAATGCAACAAGTGCCAGTATGGGAGAAAGACACCCTGTGGCGGTTGTGGAGGGGTCTCGAAGTCGTACCATGAGAATCATGATAGGCGAGTGAGTCTGCACCCGAGATGAGTGTGTAATTATTTCTCATTTAAGATGGGGACATTGCTGGCCCTCAATTCTTCTCATACCTCACACCTCACACCTCAGGTCCTCAGGTCCTCAGGTCCTCGGACAGCCGTGATGCATCTGTAGGCACACATGTAGCAGGAATGAAAATAAAGACACGTCTCTCAGTAATGTCATACCGAGTCAACACCCCTTTATGCCGGCGTAGTGATTGATTGCGGACAGCGACGTCGAGAATTACCAACATGTTACAGTGGTAGTGTAAGTAGGTTGAGGAAACATGGTATGGTAGGAATAACTAGATTCATTCATCAGAACGCCAGCCACGTTCCATGGAAGTGCATTTGTAATTTCCGGCTAACTTGCAGCTACCCTGGTAAGCGCATAGGTACCTACCTAGGTTAGGTAAGGTCAGTGGGCACCTATGGACCGAGTATATGCGTTTTACCGTCTTATGCGATTTCTAAAACAATTGCGGCACTAGGTGCGGGATCACCGGTTACGTAATGAGCGGATAGCAATGGCCCAATGGGCGATGGGTGATGTACAAGTACATAAAGCTGATGGTAGCTATACGATAATAACGGCCGGAGCCTCGCCTTGAATGCCATACTTTTCCCCAGCAAGATTGCCATACCTAGATTCATTCACCTTATCCTATTGGAAGATCCCAATTGCCTATCGCCTTTCCAATACTTCATCTTAGACCGGGACAAATAAGTACCCCTAGACGACTACAAAATTGAACGCGACTATCACCGCTTTACCCGAAGTCTTTACCGAAGCCTTGTCTATCTACATCATAGACGTCCTCCCCTCAGTTTAGAGCTTTCCTAGATACCTTTCCTACCTTTCCTACCTTTCCCACATACGTATCCACTTAACCAAGGTACCTTACCGACGCCATTCCGAGAGCTCTCAACAATCATCTAAACATTGCGCTGCTTGCATAGGTACCTGCCTAGCACGACCGCTTCCGTCTCAGTCTTGGTGTTGGTGTTAGCGCCACATTGCTGTGAGCGGGCAGCCCTTCCCTTCTGGCTGGAGCTTCGACAATCATGAGGTTGTGTTCATGATTCGTCTCCTTCCTCTGAAGGAGTGCCACCATGCCGTCCGACGGACGCACTTCAAATATCCGCGTCTTTATAAAATGGGAGGACCAGACCGTGTTCGCCGGCGAGGACCTTAGGTGCCAGATCACATTCAAGAACGTTGCCCCCGACCCTAACCATGCCTCGGCTTTATCTTCATCCTCCGGGCCGGCTTCTGCCGGTACTCCGACCTCGATCAGCTTTCGCCAGCCCCCGCCATCGTCACCGCGCGCCGATCGACAGAAACAAGCCTCGCCGCTTCTGAGTCCCCGGGGAAAGTCTGTCAACAATGGCTTGACGCCCCCAGCGCTCTCCCGTGGTCACCGCTCGACCTTGTCCCTCAACGTGTCTGCCACAAACTCGCGCCTAAGGGCTGGTGCCCAGCAATGGCCTCCTCTTCAACCACCAGCGCCGCTGCAGAGTGTCGCTCCCAACCACGCCCACAAACGATCCCTCTCCATCGTGTCCATAGGCTCCATTGGCTCCAATTCCACCGTCGATGACCAAGTACATAGCCATACCCCCCAGACGAGACGCCCTCCGCGCGGTCACAGCCGATCCTCCAGTCTTCAAATTGTGCCGCGCGCAAGTACAGCGAACGTACCTCAATCAGCAGTGCTACCGCGCCGCTCGCCTTTTGCCTCCGATTCGTCTCCCATGTTCAATAACCATTCCTTCCCTCCTTCAAGACACGACCTCGGTCAGCAGTCGGGCATTATGACGGCCCCCTCTACGCCAGTCTCTAAAAGATTGCCCACCAGGGGCCGAACATCGGGTCCCATGCCAGATTTCAAGTTCCCCATGGGCCCAGGACCTTCTCCTATGGGTGGCGTTACTGATGCCTCTAGTCTCTCTCTAGACGACTTTACCGCTACACCGACCCTGGAAACAGCGCCGCAAGTCGCGCTACCTGTCCGGTCAAAAGATTCAATACCTACAATCTCGGAACATTCAGCACCGGTCGCCAGAATATTATCCACCACAAGTATTGCAGGTGGTACGCCTAGGAGCAGTGGGGAGTTTTATTCCATGAGCAATAATTCATCCGAAACATTGGCGTCGGAGTATGTTGCCCACCCGTTTTATGGCGGGCGGATGCCTACTCACCTACGCCGAGGCTCTACTATGTCCGGCATCAGTATCGCAAAATCACCAGAGTCATTAATGATGGGTTATGCCCAGGTACAAGGCTCCTTTACGCTAGATGGGTCACTCGTGAATTTAGGCCCCTTTGAAGCCGTCAAGCGGAAAGCAATGCTTGGGGGACAAGGTGGCGGTGTGATTGGAGTCGAATCATCAAGAAGATCTGGTGGCTTCTTGAATGGTTTTGGAGGATGGGGTGGCCTCGGTAGCTCAATTGGAGAGTTGCTTGGTGGGAGCGAATTCAGCAGCATAAAAGACATGCGAGGCGCGGCAAGCTCCAAGTCAGTTCCGCTATTGTCTACTCCCCAATCATTACTATTCGTGGATTTGCAGCTGGGCCCTGGCGAGAGTAAAACG